ATGCTAGGCTCTATCTTCATCTTGAAACAATGAGAGGTGCTGAGTCAGTGGCATGGCCTACATGCTAGGCTCTATCTTCATCTTGAAACAATGCGAGGTGCTGAGTCAGTGACATGGCCTACATGCTAGGCTCTATCTTCATCTTGAAACAATGAGAGGTGCTGAGTCAGTGACATGGCCTACATGCTGGGCTCTATCTTCATCTTGAAACAATGAGAGGTGCTGAGTCAGTGGCATGGCCTACATGCTAGGCTCTATCTTCATCTTGAAACAATGCGAGGAAATCTACCTCCCACTGCAATACCTATACCACAATTCCAACAGGAACAATGTCACCCGAACTCGAGGCTGAAAGGCGAATATCAACCGTGACCGTTCAACGAATGTGACATGTCATTCAGTGCAAAAGTAGCTGACAGGAAACATGCATTGCATGCATGACTCTCTTTAGACATGTGCGTGACTTTACGTGTAAACTGACTTTACATAAGTGCATGACTTTACATGCGTGACTGACTTAAATTATATGCATGACTTCACATGCATGAGTGACTTTAGACATATGCATGACTTCACGTGTAAAACTGGCTTTACATGTGCACATGACTTTACATGCATGACTGACTTAAATTATATGCATGACTTTACATGCATGGCTGACTTTACATATATGCATGACTTCACGTGTAAAACTGGCTTTACATGTGCGCATGACTTAATATGCATGACTGACTTAAAATATATGCATGACTTTACATGCATGACTGACTTTACATATATGCAGGGCTTACATGCATGAGTGACTTTACATATATGTATGACTTTCACGTGTAAAAGTGGTTTAAACTGACTTAAAATATATGCATGACTTTACATGTATACCTCACTTTACACAACTAATGATTAGAAACATGACTTACGAAAGATTGTGTTTAATACATGCCTTTATAGCAAATTGCAAAATTTAGCCTATAATAGATATGTCGTCACGATATGGCTGAAATATTGCCGATGTGACGTAAAGCATTAATCACTCACTATAATAGATATGGCATGCATGTTTAGATATACCGTGATGTTTCAGCCCTGGTGTAGCCTGTATATTCAGCTGTACTGGAGTGGCAGATGGGGAGTATCAATCCTGCTTCACCTGCACAAGCTACATCACCTGTTCAGGAGGGTCTTCGCACACAACGACGTGTCCTGCTGAACAGGGCAATGGTCAGTACTGGGACGACGTCAGTAAGTCCTGTGAGGACACCACCACCACCTGCTTCCAGACGATCCCTGCGACAGCAACAACTACTGGTCCTGTTTCACCTACAGCTAACAATCTCACACAGACGGAATGTATCACCAGCTGTACCTCTCTTCCCAACGGCAACTACCAGTCCTGTGCGAGGTGCGACTCCTACATAGCCTGCAACTGGAACAAACCCTACCTCATGAACTGTCCATCTGGCCTGTGGTGGGATGATGTCCTCAAAACCTGCACCAGACAATCACAAACTTGTACAAACTGATATTTGTATTAGAGTAAACTACGGTTATAATGAACACGCTTATAACGAACTAACGGATATAACGAACTAACTTTTTTGTCCCGACTATTTGCTGTAGTTATATTGTATATATGCTTATAACGAATTACGGTTATAACGAACTAAAATTAGTAGTCCCTTTGAGTTCGTTATAACCGTAGTTTACTGTACTTTCACTTCAGTTATTGTAAAGGGTCTGCATCCAATGTTATCTATTGTATTGCAGTAAACTTCGGTTATAACGAACTCGAAGGGACCACTAATTTTAGTTCGTAATAACCGTAGTTCGTTATAGGCCTATATACAGCATTTATATAACAAATGGTTATATCGGTCAGTTCGTTATAAGCGTGTTCGTTATAAACGTAGTTTCTTGCACTTCAAAATCTTGTCATTCTCAAGGATCTATACCCTATGCCCCATCCTATTCATATAATCACTGGTCCCTCCTACATCGTATTCAGAAACATAGTTATTTAGAATGTATTCATAACGTGTTTCATTCAATGGTAGTTCGAAGGAACTTTTGCTTGTTGGTAAATCACCTTTCTACCGGGCCCGACACGTGTAGATTGTTACCAGATCCTTTCGCAATGTTGCCAAGGACAACTTGTCAACTCAGCGGCTGTCGAATGGTTCCCGGAAAGGGTAGACTGGGGAAATGACTTTTTTTCGTAAAATGATCATGTATGATACCTATGGAGCCTACTATCAAAGAAATAAAGTGAGTCAACTATTTCTTCTGAGAATTATACTTCAAGGTCTTTGTTTATTCCTGTGTTAGTTTCATGTGTATCAATTGTCCAGATCTTGAAAACCGTACCACATTTCTTCACCAAACTTGGCACATAGATAGATCTAGTGGTGAACTGGTGCCTTTTGATAGTTTGGGATTTTTTAAAAAGGTATTTTTTTAGTTTCCATGGTAACAACTTTGATTTAGACTGAAAATGGCAGTAGTCCTCGTTACCGGAGCAGATCTTGAAAACCGTACCATATTTCTTCACCAAACTTGGCACATGGATAGATCTAGTGGTTAACCGGTGCCTTTTGATAGTTTGGGATTTAAAAAAGTTATTTTTCGAGTTTCCATTGCAACGGCTTTGATTTAGACTGAAAATGCCGGTAGTCCTCGTTTCCGGAGCAGATCTTGAAAAACATACTATATTTCTTTACAAAAATCCCCAGTGAACATAGTTCACAGGAGCTAATGCATTTCATACACCCGACATGTCATATTGGCGGAGGATGTGTGTATTTCATGTTTGTTTTCAGTAGATCTGCATCTCACAAAGACCAAAGGGACAGTGGGGTAGCCTAATGGTTAAAGAGTTCGCTTGTCACGCCTAAGGCCCAGGTTCAGGCAGGCAGGCGGACGGACGGACGGGCGGACGGACGAACGGACGGGCGGGCGGGCGATCGGGCAGACAGACAGACAGACACACAGAAAGACAGACCGGCAGGCAGGCAGGCAGGCAGGCAGACGGACGAACGGACGAACGGACCTTGATCACACGTACCTAGACCTCTTGAGACAGAGAGACAGCCTGCACACTGCTTGCCTCTCACTCTGTCATCAGGCAGCTGGTGATCAGGGCATGTAGACTGTGTATACTGATAGAAATGTCACCATGACCACACGTACCTAGACCTCTTGAGACAGACAGACAGACAGACAGCCTGCACACTGCCTGCCTCTCACTCTTTCATCAGCCAGCTGGTATTCAGGCCATGTAGACTGTGTATACTGATAGAAATGTCACCTTGACCACACGTACCTAGACCTCTTGAGACAGACAGACAGACAGACAGCCTGCACACTGCTTGCCTCTCACTCTGTCATCAGGCAGCTGGTGATCAGGGCATGTAGACTGTGTATACTGATAGAAATGTCACCTTGACCACACGTACCTAGACCTCTTGAGACAGACAGACAGACAGACAGCCTGCACACTGCCTGCCTCTCACTCTGTCATCAGGCAGCTGGTGATCAGGGCATGTAGACTGTGTATACTGATAGAAATGTCACCTTGACCACACGTACCTAGACCTCTTGAGACAGACAGACAGACAGACAGACAGCCTGCACACTGCTTGCCTCTCACTCTGTCATCAGGCAGCTGGTGATCAGGCCATGTAGACTGTGTATACTGATAGAAATGTCACCCTGACCACACGTACCTAGACCTCTTGAGACAGACAGACAGACAGACAGACAGCCTGCACACTGCTTGCCTCTCACTCTGTCATCAGGCAGCTGGTGATCAGGCCATGTAGACTGTGTATACTGATAGAAATGTCACCTTGACCACACGTACCTAGACCTCTTGAGACAGACAGACAGACAGACAGACAGCCTGCACACTGCTTGCCTCTCACTCTGTCATCAGGCAGCTGATGATCAGGGCATGTAGACTGTGTATACTGATAGAAATGTCACCATGACCACACGTACCTAGACCTCTTGAGACAGACAGACAGACAGCCTGCACACTGCCTGCCTCTCACTCTGTCATCAGGCAGCTGGTGATCAGGGCATGTAGACTGTGTATACTGATAGAAATGTCACAATGACCACACGTACCTAGACCTCTTGAGACAGACAGACAGACAGACAGCCTGCACACTGCCTGCCTCTCACTCTTTCATCAGCCAGCTGGTAATCAGGCCATGTAGACTGTGTATACTGATAGAAATGTCACAATGACCACACGTACCTAGACCTCTTGAGACAGACAGACAGACAGACAGCCTGCACACTGCCTGCCTCTCACTCTGTCATCAGGCAGCTGGTGATCAGGGCATGTAGACTGTGTATACTGATAGAAATGTCACCTTGACCACACGTACCTAGACCTCTTGAGACAGACAGACAGACAGACAGCCTGCACACTGCTTGCCTCTCACTCTGTCATCAGGCAGCTGGTGATCAGGCCATGTAGACTGTGTATACTGATAGAAATGTCACCCTGACCACACGTACCTAGACCTCTTGAGACAGACAGACAGACAGACAGACAGACAGACAGCCTGCACACTGCTTGCCTCTCACTCTGTCATCAGGCAGCTGGTGATCAGGCCATGTAGACTGTGTATACTGATAGAAATGTCACCTTGACCACACGTACCTAGACCTCTTGAGACAGACAGACAGACAGACAGACAGCCTGCACACTGCTTGCCTCTCACTCTGTCATCAGGCAGCTGGTGATCAGGGCATGTAGACTGTGTATACTGATAGAAATGTCACATTGATCACACCTACCTAGACCTCTTGAGACAGACAGACAGACAGACAGACAGACAGACAGACAGACAGACAGACAGACAGCCTGCACACTGCCTGCCTCTCACTCTGTCATCAGGCAGCTGGTGATCAGGGCATGTAGACTGTGTATACTGATAGAAATGTCACCTTGACCACACGTACCTAGACCTCTTGAGACAGACAGACAGACAGACAGACAGCCTGCACACTGCTTGCCTCTCACTCTGTCATCAGGCAGCTGGTGATCAGGCCATGTAGACTGTGTATACTGATAGAAATGTCACCCTGACCACACGTACCTAGACCTCTTGAGACAGACAGACAGACAGACAGACAGCCTGCACACTGCTTGCCTCTCACTCTGTCATCAGGCAGCTGGTGATCAGGCCATGTAGACTGTGTATACTGATAGAAATGTCACCTTGATCACACCTACCTAGACCTCTTGAGACAGACAGACAGACAGACAGACAGACAGCCTGCACACTGCTTGCCTCTCACTCTGTCATCAGGCAGCTGGTAATCAGGCCATGTAGACTGTGTATACTGATAGAAATGTCACCATGACCACACGTACCTAGACCTCTTGAGACAGACAGACAGACAGCCTGCACACTGCTTGCCTCTCACTCTGTCATCAGGCAGCTGGCGATTAGGGCATGTAGACTGTGTATACTGATAGAAATGTCACCTTGATCACACGTGCCTACACCTCTTGAGTTGACACCAATTTGTCCCTGAGCGTGTCCTTTGTCACGTGATCCCCGAAAGGAGAATCCACTATTATTTGAGTTGTTGGTCCCAAAAAAGCTCGACCGACTTAAAGATAATTTTGTGAAAAAAGTGACAAACACCATTTTCATAATTATGAGAAATCTCTACTTAATGCGTTTCTCGTGACAACAACGATTGAGACTCAATTACAGCCATATCGTCGTCATATAGCTGGAATATGTCTGAAGCTTAAATGTGTTCGTGCACCGCGTTCATCCATCAAACTAGTTTCTGTCTTTACTCAAATGTCATGGAGAAGACAGACTACGCATATGTGTACGTCATTTTACCGCGATGTTTTGTTAGGATGAAAAGAACGTAGAACAAATCTCTTTTGATCCTTTGAGAGCAAAGGTTCCTGCTTCTTGGATGTCATGAACAAATTACCGCTGTAGATTTAGCACACCCCATATACGTCTACAGGGCGAGTTGACGTGGGATCTATTGACGAAATGTCAGTGTTGGATTGATATTCTGTGTTGTCTCTCAGCCATAGCATACACCGGCTCGCCGATATATGTATTTTAACACTGCACATATCTTGTTAGATAGGAGTGAGTGAGTGAGTATAGTTTTACGCCGCTTTTAGCAATATTCCAGCAATATCACGGTGGGGGGACACCAGAAATGGGCTTCACACATTGTACCTATGTCGGGAATCGAACCCGGGTCTTCGGCGCGATGAACGAACGCTTTTACCACTTGGCTACCCGACCCCCCTGTTACATAGGAAACCCATGCTATAAGTATTGCTGCGTTAAACAATAAACAAGTGTTTTGTCCGACTGGAACCTGATAGCGCGAGACGCTGGGTTATGCATATGGTCAAAGGGAGGTAACTGTCCACACAGTGAAGTTTGAGAGCAATACAAGTTACCCCCCTTTAGTAAACGTTCACCGTCTCAAGTCATTAGACTCGTGTCAATCTTCGAGCTTCGTATCATACGAGCTTTGAACACACAATGCCAATTAGAAAGTGGTGAAAATGGCATTGTGTGTTCATAGGTTTCGGCCATGGGAGCCGTGCCAATTTACACTTGTCAGAGGGGTTCACAGGTTCGTGATTTAGACTACCAGTTGTCGAACTTTGTTTTTGTGGAAGCCTCGGTGGCTGAGTGGGTTAGATCAGACTTTGTGTGCTGGCGATTAGGTGTCTCACTCTCGCAGTGTGGGTTCGAATCCCGGACGGGACTCTGTACTGAGAATCTGTACTGAGAAAGTGTGATCCCAAATATAACATTTGTTACAAAGGAGTACTGGTATGTGTCACCGCGCTGATAGTGTGTAAAGACACATAGAAGTGTGAAAAATCTTTGGACTGGCAATTAACGGTTGAGAACAAATGTAGATACATTAATGCCCAATCTTTATTACGCAGACAAAACACATATGGTTATACATTTAGTACAATATAACAGATAATATTTGAAAGTGTTCAGCAAGATAGCGAAATACGACTACAATAAGTGCCCCAAAACATTTCAATAATCATAATAAATCTCCACTTAAAGCCTTCATACAATTCAGACTATAGCATAAGCAGGTGTTTATCAAACAGACATGCTACAAGGTGTTCGAAAAAGGTGCGCGTATCCTGCCCCACCAGTGGCAACCGTCACAAACACATGCAAAGGCAAGACAACATTTTTGTCATTGATGCGGCAAATTTAGAAATGTCCTCCACATGACTACCTGATAGTC